TATTTTGTGTGTGTGGCCAGCTCAGCCCACCAGGTGGCAGGGCTGGCTGGCATGTGGTGCTGGGGGATTGAACCGCGGTCCCTGTGCTTTGCTTAGCTTGTTCTAAGTAGGTGCTTTAGACCACTGAGCCATCTCACCTGCCCCCCTTTGTATTTTAGATCAAACGTAGTCAGTGGGTTTTGCAGATGAGAGGTTTTCTTTGTTATTGTTTTTTTTAAAATTTTATTTATTTATTTATTTATGTGTGTGTGTGTGTGTGTGTGTGTGGCCAGCTCAGCCCACCAGGGGGCGGGGCTGGCTGGCATGTGGTGCTGGGGGATGGAACTGTGGTCCCTGTGCTTTGCTAAACTTGTTCTAAGTAGGTGCTTTAGACCACTGAGCCATCTCACCAGCCCTTGTTATTGTTAGGAGACAGGATTTTTGCTGTGTGGTTCAAACTGACTTTGAACTCACCACATAGCCCAGGCTGGCCTTGAGCTTGTGTTGGTCCTCCTGCCTCAGCCTCCTGAGGGATTACAGATAGGAACCACCAGGCCCAGGAATGGTGACAAGTTTTACACTCTGGGAGACGTTTGGTAATGTTTGGGACTTGTTTTAATTTTTGGACATGGTTTAGACTGCGACTACTTGGGGAAGATGCTGCTAGTGAATAAATGTTAGGAACTCTGCTAAACAACTACAGTGCGAACTGTGGCCCTACACCCCAGCAGAGTTACATGGCCCCATGAGAATCCCTGACCCAGATGATGTTGCCGCTCACTCTCTTAGGACACCTGAAGACAGTGAAAGCCTCGCTGCCTGCTACTCTTGCTCCTCAAATCTGTATCATCTGAGATTCAGCGTTGTGGAGTTGTGTGGAAGCGCCCGCAGACGCTCCTCCAGCTGATGGTGTACCTTGTCTCTCAGTGCTGTGCTGTGCGGAGTGCGCTCCTGGGAGGGTTTGAACCACCCTGGGGGAAGCGGGGAAGCGTGGAGGCCAGCGGGTGCTGCACATCCGCACGCTGCGGAAGCGTGGACGAAGGCGTCGATGTCCGCCTGGCA